GTTTTTGTAAGTTGANGTTTTTGTGGTACCGGATGACAAAGCATTTCATCGGAACCATCAGAACAATCCGTTTTTCCGTCACATTGCGCCACTCTTTCGATGCATTCACCGCTAACACATTGATATTGCTCAATTGTGCAAGTTTTTTTCCGCTTCAATCACATCATATCGATCACGAGCATCCGCATCCGTATACAAATCATTATCAATCTGAAATTAATTACACATTAATACAAATTACAGAATTTATATCTAAATTCATTATTCATAAATATAAATAATAATTGCTGGTAATTTATGAAAAATCAAGAAAAGTTAGTCCGGTATTTTTCCTTTTCTTTTTTTTTTGCAAAACGACAAGTGAACCGAATCAATCAATTCATATAACATCTGATGCAATCCGGAAAATTGAAATCCTTTTACGGGAACAATCCGTAATTCGTAATTTAACTATGGTCATATTGGAAATGATTGTTTTATAAATTATAATTATAAAATAATGAGAGCAAAATTTAGGTTGAATATTACTCTTTTAAGGTGACATTTAGGCAGGTTTACTTAAGCACTTTTGGTTAACATAAATCCAGAAAAGATATTATCATGAAGAAGTAAGTTTGCTCGCCATTATAAATCCGGGAAAAATTATAAATTTCATGATAAATAAGCAGACTGATTACCGGAAAAATTAGTCCGGAAAAAGGATTAATAATTTCAATTAATGAATTCAATAATTTCAAAAAAATAAAAATACAGAACAATTATTAACTTGCCTGATTTTCCTTATCCGGACCGTAACGTTCTAATTCCAGTCGTCGTCGTGCTTCATCTTCTTTAATCCGGACACCTTCTACGGTCATCTGATGTTTCTCATATTCTCCCAAATCTTCACCTTTTCTTTCTTTTTCCAGTTCTCTCCTTGACAATTCCTCTAGACGTCTACGATCTTCTTCTAAACGTCTTTGGTTCTCTTCCAATTGTCGCCTATCTTCCTCCTCCTTCTTCTTTTTCCGTTCCATTTCTTCTTCTTTCTGTCGTCTTTGTTCATCTTCTCTGTATCTTTGGTGTTGTTCTTCCTCATAACTTTTCTGTTCCTTATCAGTATATCCATTCTTATCTTCTTCACCTTTTTGTTCCTTTTCCTGTCGTGCTATTTCCATCCCTTGCCTGATTCTTTCGTGTTCTTGACGTTGTGATTCCACCTCTTGTCGCATTCTTTCATGTTCTTGTCGTTCCCATTCATCTTGTTCCTGTCTATCTTCCTGTTCTCCTTCGTATTCCTTCCCTCTCCTTTGTTCAACTTCTTGTCTTCGTCTTTCTTCTTCATAATATTCTTCTCTTCTCCTTTCCTGTTCCACTCTTTCCCGTTCCTCTTCTTGCTCCCGTCGTTCTCTCTCCTCTTGTCTTCTTTCTTCTTGTCGCTTTCTTTCTTGTTCCTGCCTTAATCTTTCCTTTTCCACGTGTTGTCTTTCCTGTTCCTGTCCTCTTCCTACGCTTTCCCATTTCTCTCTTTCCCATGGCAATCCTTTTGTCTCTCCTGCTCTTCTTCATACTCTTTCTCGCTCTTTCGTTCCATCTCTTGTCTTTGTCTTTCCTCTTCATAATATTCTTGCCTTTTCCTTTCCTGTTCCACCCTTTTCCGTTCCTCATCTCGCTCCCGTTCTTCCTCCTCTCGTCTTCTTTCCTGTTCCTGTCGTTCTCTTTCTTGCTCCTGTCTCAGTCTTTCCTGTTCCCGTTCTTCATGTTCCTTCTCATGTCTCAGCCTTTCCTGTTCCTGTTTTCGTATTTGCTCCTCTCTATCTTTCTGTTCTTCGGATGCAATTTCATCCGGATGCATCGCTGTACTTCTTGCTTGTTGCAGGGCTTGCACAAAATATTCTGCAAACTACTAATTTAAGTAATTCGTGAATTTGTACATTTCCTGATTTCCTGAACGGACTGATACAATTCGGAATATCATCAAGAAAAAAATAAATAACGATGTCTTTTAAAATAATCAAAGAAGTTGGCTCAAAATGACTTGAAATAATAAATTAAAAATATTTTTCAATTCAAAATTTAAAATCATTCCGAAAATTGAATTCAACCAATTTTTGGATAAATTAATTAAAAATACAGTATAATTAATACTGGGATAGTAATATTTTTTTGATAAAAATGAGCAGAAAAGCTAATTAATCGAACATACTAATTAAATACATTGTATACCATTGGATAAAAGTATAAATTATTAACATACCACAGGTATTCTCATCTGTCCCATCATCACAATCATATTTATGATTGCATCGATCGATTTGTGCAATACATTTTCCGTTTTCACAACGGAATTGATCCGGTTCACATCCTGTACCGGTTGTTGTGAATATTTCACTTTTACCATTTATTTCATCTTCACCACAATTCATCTCATCACTACCATCACCACAATCATCAATACCATCACATATTTTCATATAATGAACACACATGTTTTCGCCAAATATGGACATCTTAAACGAGAATTTGAATTTGATTACACAATTACTCAATTAATTAATGCTTCGAATATTTAAATATTGCACAAATAAATGCATTCATTTTTTATTTTTTCATCAAAATTATGAACATCTTAAGAAAGAATTTGAATTTATTCGTACAACTATTCAGTTAATTATTAATTCGAATACTTAAATATCGCATAAATAAATGCAGCTATTTTTTATTTTTCCATTAATTTTCATCGAAATCATTTGCAATTTTTTAGAAAATACTAATTATTTCCAATTTTTTAAACAATATTTTGGAAAATATTAAAAATATAAATATTAAGTATATATATGTATGTATATAGGATAAAATGAAAATTAATGATGAAAATGCTCTAAAAAAATATTGAAAAAATTATTTTCAATTCTGATTTTAACCATAAATAAATAGGAAAACAAATTGATAATAATTCAAAATGAATCATTTTATCAATCAACTACGTTTGGAAATAGCCTTATCATTAGGAATAACTAATGTAAACAGAAATGAGGTATTAATCTTAAAGTGATATGAACAGATTACCGAAATTATCTTAATGTTATTAAATTAAATACTTAAATATCGCATACAATATTAATCAAAATTTCATAATAAATAATTAGATTAGGATAAAATTTGATTCATTAAATACTTTCATGAAAATAATTTTTCATTTCAGCAAATGAAAATACTTACCGGAATTCTTGATCAGAACATTCATCCGTATCCTCATCATCATTCTCCTCAATACCATTACCATTCTGTTTAACATGTGATGTATGATTTGTTTCATATCTTATTCCTGTTTTATCATTACTAATTCCGGAATGATAATTTTGATTATTTTCTTCACCATACCGGTATAACCTCCCAGTATTACTATCAAATGATGATGCTTCACTTATTGCTAATCCATGTTGACCATTTGACAGAAAATTTTCATTTAATGATAATTTTTGTAATCCTTCTAATCGATTATGTCGTATTCCGGAAATTTGTCCGCTTAGCTCTTTATATTGATGATTTTCAAATGTTCCATAGCTTGACTGATCATCATTTTTTTCATTTCTATCATTATTAATATTAGCAATATTCGAAATGTAATTGTAATCATTTCCATTCCATTTATTACCATTACGGTATTTATTCGTTTTACCATGATCGCTTCCGGTATTTCGAGCATATGCGTTATTATTATTATTATCATACTGTATCATTTTATCGTAACCAGAAAAATGTCGATTATCATTTTCATATCTACTGCGAAATTCATACTCGTTGTGATTAATTCCTGATGGATAATTATTGTATTTATATTCGATATTATTTCTTGATTTAGGAATATTTCGATTGTTTACATTGATTTTCCGATTGTACAGTTTACCTTTCTAAATAATTTCTATTAGCATTTTCTTAATTAATATATACTTTAACACTATTTATTTTAATTCTTACCATGATAATTTAAATATTTATACGAAAAATTTTTCTTTTTATTCTTGCAATTTTTTTTTTTGATAAATTTATTCAAAAAAAAAGAAAACGGAAAAATACTGTAACAGTAATATTTTCGATAAACTAATTAGGAAGATTAATGAATCGGAATGTAAATACTTGTTAGATATTAGTTTTGCTAATTAAACTATATAAAATGCTATATATCTTCTAGTGAAGAAAATTTAATGAAAATGAAAATTTTCAAAAATTTCTTTTATTCTTTAAAAAAAAAATGACATGATTAATTTTTATGATGTTTTTGAAATGCTAAGATATAATTTTATAAATAGGAATAGAAAAACTGAAATACCTGATTTCTTGTATGTTTTCCAAATTTATTAATCATTTTGTTATTAGGCGCATTTGTCGACCCATAATGAGCTTGTTGAGCAGCAATGTAATACTCTAAATAAGCTTTAATTAATTATCACAAATAATTTATTTCTAAATGTTATCATTTTGATGTTTGAAATGATATTTTTAACTTAAAATTATTATAACTTTTGATGGAACTTTTTCAAAAAATGTATGATTACTTTATTAGCTTATTGCATTAAGTAACAAATATATTTTTTTCATAAATTAAATTGCCATAAAAGGATTTAAAAATTTGTTTTAAAAGGAAAATAGAAAAACTAAACAATACTAATAGCAAAAAGAAAAAACAAAACTTCTAATAAACAAATTTTCAAAAGTACTATTAAAATTAAAAGCAAAGTTAAATTATTAAAAGCACGCAATGATAAACTACTATTGAAAATCAGTTAAATTAAGCAATTAAATGAAATTGTTAATTGCTAATATATTAATTACTTTTCGTTTTTTTTTAATTAATTATTAGGAAAATTATTTTATTACTATTATTTCATCTATTATATAACATTGCATAATCTTTAATTTTTTTTCTTTGTTACTTTTAAATAATTAATTTTAATTATTCAAAAATTAAATTTTTTTTTTTTAAAATTAATACTAACCACACTTCATTTCATCACTACCATCAGTACAATCATAATGTCGATTACATGCTTTTTCACGTGGAATACATTCACCTGAATCACAACTGTATTCTTTCACATTGCAATTTCCTGTTACAGATCGTTTTTCACTACCTAAATTTAAAAATGAAATAATTTTCAAAATTTATAATTTAATATTTATATGGAAGGTAATTTTAACAAAGATTAAAGATTAATCTGATTTGATAAAGCAATCTTTGAAGGAATTTTAAAATTAAATATAATTATGTTTTATTTTTTATTTTCAAATATTGTCTTTTGTTTTTGATCTTTTTGGCGTTTTTTTTCCTTTTTTTTTGCTTGTAATTATTATTAATAAATTAATTTTTAGCAAAAATAAAAATTTCAAGTAAAAAAAAATTCAATCTTTTACATTTAATATGAAATTTTGACCCATTTTATCATTGTACCAAAACTATTTTGTTGCTTAAAAAAAAAGAAAAATTTAATCTAACTTTTTTAATTCGATATAAAATTAAAAACAGAGGGAAAAATTTTGTCCAATTACTTATTTTTGTTTTGTTTTCTTTTTTAACTTTCAAAAAATTTCATCTGTAATTTCATCATCTTGCTTTTTAATCTAAGCTTTTAATTAAATATGAAATTAAAAGTAAGATGAAAAATTTTGTCTAATCAAAAGCAAGAGAAGTAATTTTAAGAATAGAAAAAGTTAAAAATAGAAGAAAAAAATTAAAACATTTGCATATCAATTTAAACAAAATGGAAAACTTTAATGATATAAATCATTAATGAAATTAATACACCAATAACTTAATTACTAATTAACTGTTTTTTTATATCAATCCATTACTCTCGTTTTTTTTTCCATTTTATATAGATTTTCCACTTTAATATAGTGTAATGTAAGCGATATAATACTTAAATTTAATAATTTTAAACTGCTTAAGGCTAAAAAAAATGTACTGTGTATATATTTATACGTAAATTATGCTTGGAAATGGTATTATTACAATAATTTCCGGTTTTAAGAATTACCCAAACCGGTTTATGTTTGTGTAAGCTAAAACTAAGTTGTGAACTAATTAAGACCATTAATATCTATCATCATCAACTTTCCAACATTTCAATATATAAATAGTTAGATATTGTAAATGAATAAATTTATCGAATTTATTGCATGAAATTGAATATAATTAAAAATTGAATAAATTAAAGTTTAAAAAATGACAAAAAAAGAACTAATGAAATAGCTATTAACATAGAATGTATTATTTGATTAATCGAAATAATGGATAATGGCATTTAATTTTAAATAAAAATACAATTTCATTAGCTCTTAAATTTGCTTTAAACTTATAAGACATAAATATTTTAAATGCAAAATGCTTGAATTATTAAATATTGTGATGCAATTATAGACTATTAAAAGAAAATTTTATTTAATTTAATTCGTTAATTCGATTATTCAATCACATTCATTATATTCATTAATCAATTCAATGCATATCAGTATAATAATACAATTAAAATTGAAAATTATTAAAATGTTTTATTTTTAATTCATCCATTATTCATCGAATTAATATTTAAAGAAACAGATTTATCTTATTAATATCTTTCCAAACTAATTCATAATCACGATTTAATCTATTTTTGCTATCCTTTAAACCTCCGTTTTCCTTATCTTATTCAGTAAACTGAAAACAAACCTGTTAAGATAAGGAAAATTGGAGTTTAAAAAATGGAATTATCAAAACTTTAAAAAAATTTTAATTCACTATTTTATTTGAAAAAAATGGAAAATGAATTTTGCTGATATATTTTATTTGTTATATAATTTAAAAAAAATAGTTGACTAATAAATTTACCAAAAAAAAGGAAGAAAAAAGTTTGTAAAATTCTGGTCAAAAAAGATTTAAAATTATAAAATAACTTTTATTAAAGGTTTTTCAAAAAAAAAATTATACAAAGGTTACATGAAAGTAACAATTAATTATACCATTTTTATGAAAAAATTGTGAAATTTAAATTATTTATAAATATCAATTTTATTTCAAAATTTTAGTAAAATACAAATTTTCCATATGTTTTATTTGCATATTGGCATTAAATTTAACATAAATTATTTCGTGTCTCATTTTGTAAAATTCATTTTCTCAATGTCCTTCAATTTCTTGACTGTTTATGATATAAGTATATAATTGTTCAATTTAATTGATCTATTTGAATATAATCCTTAAATTGTTGAATATTCACGATAAATAATTAATTTGAGATAAGTTAAGGATAGTTGTCGATGTAAATCCCTTAAATGTAAATATATAAAATTTGAATAAATAAATAGAGTGAAGAATGAATTTGCATTCCATTGATTAATGACAAACAGACATAAAAATCCGTGGAAATTCCGCGATGCATGACACATTCAGGTGAAAATGTCCTAATTTCAAAATATTCATTCGATGACACAATGACAACTCGTAGTGCTATCGTCTCGTAGTGCCCATTCAATTTTCAGTTGTCATTTTAATCGTCAATTTTAAGTATAAATAGCAATTTCATCTCTCTCTATATCCCTCTCTCCCTCTCTCTCTTTACGCTTTTTTTTCTTCCAGTCAATAATATATATATATATAAATGTTTATTTTATGTTATAGATTTAAGTAATTAAATGTAAAAATACAAATTAGCAAAAATATTTTGGTCATTCTGATATTTTCTTATCATTATTATCATTACAAATGTTAATATCAATTGTGATAATATTTTTATCACTTCAATAAAAGAAAAATTTTTCATTTTAGAACAAATTAAATTTTTTTAACACTTAAAATATACAATCAAATAAATGATAAATTTGCTATTGGTTTATTCAAAAAAAAGACGTTTTAATAAAAAATGAAAGGAATTGATTTACAGGAAGAAGTATTTCTAATTGATTATCATATTATCAATGACTATTGATAATCAGAAATCAAAAGCACGAACAAATCGACGGATACTATTCCAATATCCGGCATTATCAAATGTTGAAATTGGTTTTTGTTATTTTATTGTTGGATGTAGTATGATTTATGCATGGAGTCAAGTTATAATTGCTAGTAATAAATAT